CCCTCTGAGGCCCGCCCCGAGGGGGGGGGGGAGCCGCTGCAGGGTCTGAATCGGGGTGGGCCCTTCAGGGATCCATGGGTGGCCTACGAGACATTTTGCTTAACGTTGCCCACATGCAGGGTTGCCAGATGCCGCCGGTTCCTGTCCACATGGGGCGTTTTCCCTACTGGTGTTAGTGAAGTGACACACACGTAAAGCCAGAGAAGAAGGGTGTGTGCTCATTGATTGGGAGAGCCGGGCGCTCCCTCTGCAGCCAACCCCGGGGCTGCTCCAGTTCCGTCGGCGCCCCCTGCAGACTCTAGCTACGCAAGCGCCGTCAGCAGAACTGCTCGATCCCGGGAGACCCTGGTGGTCACAACAATCTTGCAGCCGGCTGAGATGGAGCAGAGCCATTCGTTCGGCCCGCTCACTAGCCTCGGTTGCCCCTCGCTGGTCTGGATCTTTAGCTCTGGGCCACTATGAGGCTACGCCTACACTGCCAGTTTTTGCGGCAGAAAATATGCAAATGAGGGGCTCATTTGCATGAGTCGCAATCTCATTTGCATATTTTCTGCCCATCCATTTTTGCACTCGGGGTTTTTGTGCAAAACCAAGCAGAGTGGACATTTTCTTTTTGGGCAAAAAACCCTTTTTCCGCACGATCGGTAAACCTCCTTTTTTGGGGGCTTGCGGAAGGAGATTTTGCGCAAAAAGGAAATGTCCACGCTGCTTGTTTTTGCAAGCAAACCCAATTCCTTCAGCCTTCCCTCATAGCTCCTGTTCTCTAGACCTTTCATCATTCTCGTTGCTCTTCTCTGGATCCTCTCCAATTTCTCCACATCTTTCTTGAAATGCGGTGCCCAGAACTGGACACAATACTGCAACTGAGGCCTAACCAGCGCATAACCCAGATCATACGCTCCAGGGCTTGGCTTGGGCTTCCCCCAGCATCACGCAGCGCGGCTCCATGTCTGCCTGGGATGCCTAACGAACGTGCTTCTCCCTCTCTCTAGCCTGCTCGGGTCCGGCGGGCCAGCTGTGGAAGGCCTTACAAAACTCGGAGGCAGCCCACCAGACACGTTCGCCGCCACCACCGCATGACAGCAGGGAGAAAGTGAGAGTCAAAGGCCATCCGGGGAGGAAGACACAAACATCCTCAAACAGCCTTGCGGCAACTGGTGCTCCAGGTGCCGGAGCCGGCTCCATCCTGCCCCTTTCAGCCACCGTCTAATAAACAGCCACTTGCAATGGGTTGGATGTCAATCGCTTTCTCTTCTTGCCCCAGCCCTCGTCTACACCTCTGCTTTGTGCCACGGAAAGGGGTAGGGAATCACGACCAGGGAGTCACCTGACCACGCTATTAGCCAATGGATGGTACCGGGGAGGAGATGCCATACTCCTACCCCCTAGGGGAAACCCTCCAGCTCAGAAACTCAGTGCACATGTAACCCACACACCGAGTGTGCGTGTCACGGTCCCATGCAGCAGCCCTTAGACCACATACAAGACACCTCTACAGCCTAAGCTGGGAGCCAGCTGGCTTTTAGCTCAAACCGTACAGCAGTGTTTCTTAAACTTTTTAAGACCGAGGAACATCAAACAATCATTTTTTTTATGGGGAACACCAAGGATTTTTTTGTTGAGAAAAAAAAGCGCCCAAGGAAAAGTTGTTGAGCCAAAAAAAAAAAAAAAAAGAGAGACTTGTCCCTTTAAGGGTGGCCATTTTGAATTCTGTTCTCTCCATGGCACACCTCATGGTGTGCCATGGAACACACTGCTGTAGAGGCTCCTACACCGAGCTTTTGAGGTCCCAGGTTCAAATCTGCCCAGTGGTGGTTACACATGCAATGGAGTTACCCCTGGGAGAGCAATGCGGCTCAGTGTGGCCTGCCTGTGCAGCTATTAAGTCAGTCTACAAGGGATCGGGATATTCCAGACATTGCTTGTCTCACCCAATACATGGTAACATCTGCCTCCTAACCAGCCAATTGCTGGTAGGGTTATAAGACAATGCCTGCCCCAGCAGCATTCTGCATGGGCAACACAGGGCAGGAGAGAGCTCCACCCCCTCCTGGCATTGACAGGACAGTGAAGGAAGAGGAATGGAGACAGCTTGTGCACTATGACCCCCCCCCCCACGCACATCCTCTCCAAATACAACGACTGTCAAGCAGGAGGTGTGGCCGACAGAGCTGGCTCAGCAGGGGCGGGATCAGAGAGATGGGTACCTGCTGGGGCAGGTGAAGCAGTCAGCTGACAGGGAAGTGAACAGCAGAGCAGCACTGCCTAGTGGGAAGGGCAAGTCTAGGCCCTCAGTCCCAGCTCCCTTAGGCCTTCCCGGGAGACCTGTCCCAGAGCTGCCCCTGCAGGAGGCTGAGATGGAGGGTTACAAGAAGCCAGGTGCCCTTGCTGCAGTGGAGAGGCGTTCTCAGCACATGATTGACCATGGGGCTGTGGCCCTGAAGAGGGGCAGTAAGGAAGGGGTGGGGTGAGTCAATGAGCAAGGTGCTGGCCAGAGTTCTAGGGCAAGGCATTTAGGCCAGCCCTGCCTCAGTTTCCCAAGGAGGCCTCTGCCCTGCCTTGCAGGGATGCCATGCTGATCTTGCTGCTACTGTCGGTGAGGTGCCCACGTGTTCCAGTGACAAGGCAAGAGAGGCCCAGGCTGCCCCCAGCGTGAATTGATGGCAGCGGGGAGCTGCCTGTCGCGGGAGCCTCGGAGCCTCGCCCCCAACCGGCGGGGCCCCGCTGGACGCCCGGTCCTTTTTTAAGCCCCATCCAGGCTGCCCTTCTATTTTTTGGCTCAAGTGGAGATTTGTCCCATTTGCTCTTGTCTACTCAGTCCGGAGCAGGCGAGCAGGACAAAGAATAAGGGAGCAAAGGGACAAGTGGGCATGCCAGCCCCAAAGCTCGGGGTGGGGGGCAGGCAGGGCTCAGACAGGCAGCCTGCCAGCTCAAGCTTTGTGGGGGGGAAGAGAGAAGCCAGAGCTTGGGCTAGCCCGTGGGGGGGGAGGGGTCCATTTTCCCTCTGGTCACCCTACAGTTTCTTTGATAAGATAACGAGCCTTGTGGATAAGGGAGAAGCGGTGGATGTCATATACCTAGACTTTAGTAAGGCCTTTGATACGGTCTCGCATGATATTCTTATTGATAAACTAGGCAAATATAACTTAGATAGGGCCACGATAAGGTGGGTGCATAATTGGCTGGATAACCGTAGTCAGAGAGTTGTTGTTAACGGTGCTAAATCCTGCTGGAAAGGGATAACAAGTGGAGTTCCGCAAGGGTCTGTTTTGGGACCCGTACTGTTCAATATCTTCATCAATGATGTAGATATTGGGATAGAGAGTACGCTTATTAAGTTTGCAGATGATACCAAACTGGGTGAGGTTGCAACTTCTTTGGAGGATTGGGACATAATTCAAAATGACCTTAGCAAGTTAGAGAAATGGTCAGAGGTAAACAGGATGAGGTTTAATAAAGAGAAATGCAAAGTGCTCCACTTAGGAAGGAACAATCAGTTCCATACATACAAGATGGGAAGCGACTGTCTAGGAAGGAGCATGGCGGAAAGGGATCTAGGGGTCATAGTGGACCACAAGTTGAATATGAGTCAACAGTGTGATGCTGTTGCAAAACAAGCAAATATGATTCTAGGTTGTATCAACAGGTGTGTTGTAAGCAAAACTCGTGAAGTCATTCTGCCGCTCTACTCTGCACTAGTTAGGCCTCAGCTGGAGTACTGTGTCCAGTTCTGGGCGCCACATTTCAAGAAAGATGTGGAGAAATTGGAAAGGGTACAGAGAAGAGCGACAAGAATGATTAAAGGTCTAGAGAACATGACCTATGAAGCCAGGCTTCATGAACTGGGCTTGTTTAGTTTGGAAAAAAGAAGATTAAGGGGGGACATGATAGCGGTTTTCAAATATCTAAAAGGGTGTCACAAGGAGGAAGGAGAAAATGTGTTCCTCTTGGTTTCTGAGGACAGGACAAGGAGTAATGGGCTTAAAGTGCAGCAAGGGAGGTTTAGATTGGACATTAGGAAAAAATTCCTAACTGTCAGGGTGGTCAAATATTGGAATAAATTGCCAAGGGAGGTGGTGGAATCTCCCTCTCTGGAGATATTTAAGAACAGGTTAGATAGACATCTGTCAGGGATGGTGTAGATGGAGCTTGGTCCTGCCTTGAGGGCGGGGGGCTGGACTCGATGACCTCTCGAGGTCCCTTCCAGTCCTATGATTCTATGATTCTATGATACAGTGCTGAACAGGGAGCACCGCACTCAAGGGCAGTGGGTGAAGCCAAACCTCAGCCCCCCCTTCTGCCTGAGGCTCCACCCCTTCTGCCCAAGGCCCCGCCCCCTCCAGGAGCATGGCAGCCCCCCCCCTTGCCCAGGGATCCGGCAATTCTGTTGCCCCCGCCCCTGCATTTGCCCAACTCAGAACAGAGGGCAAGGGTAATGACTTCAGCCGCAGTTAGCTGCCACTCGGCCGTCTATCTGGAGTTACAGGTCTCTAACCAGCGTTACAAATCAGCCCCTAAAGAAATAGGGTTGCCAGATTCTTTCACAAAAAATACCAAACATGGCGGAAAAAAATTGGTTGAGAAAAAAAAAATAAAAAGCTTGAGGACCTGGTATTTTCTGGGGGTTTTTAATGGACAAAAGCCGCAAATACCAGACTCTCTGGGGCGATACCGGACCCCTGCCGACCCTCCAAAGAAGTGAATTCTCTCTTCTCGCCTTCAAATCCACTCGCGACGCTAGTCCTGACGGGATACAAACTCTGCTCCTAAGAGGATTTGGTAACCATGTGATTCCTAGGGGATGCTCACAAGGTTTTGCTCCCAATGTGGCAACAACAGAAAGGTGGTGAGGGTTTGTTTTTTTTGCCAAACAAGGGGAAAAAAGAAAAGATTAGGCAATAGCCGTTCAAACAGCAAAGGGCTTTCAATAGCTTTGCACAACTGACTTCTGCTTTGTGCCTCCCCCCTCAAAAAAACCCACCTGCAAAATGTAGTATTTGGGAAACAAGCCCATAACGGCAAGAAAACTGGTGTGGGTAGGAGCAGGGAATAACTCTGGATTCATAGATTATAAAGCCAGAACAGGATACTGCTCGCCTAGCCTGCCCTCCACTCGCCCATATAACAAATGCCACAGGATTTCCTTGACTAAAGTCCAGTGAAAATGGGAATCATAAGAACATAAGAACATAAGAACGGCCGTACTGGGTCAGACCAAAGGTCCATCTAGCCCAGTATCCTGTCTGCCGACAGTGGCCAGCACCAGGTGCCCCAGAGAGGGTGGACCGAAGACAATGATCAAGCGATTTGTCTCCTGCCATCCCTCTCCAGCCTCTGACAAACAGAGGCCAAGGACACCATTTTATCCCCTGGCTAACAGCCTTTTATGGACCTAACCTCCATGAATTTATCCAGCTTCTCTTTAACCTCTATTATAGTCCTAGCCTTCACCGCCTCCTCTGGCAAGGAGTTCCACAGGTTGACAACACGCTGTGTGAAGAAGAACTTCCTTTTATTAGTTTTAAACCTGCTCCCCATTAATTTCATTTGGTGTCCTCTAGTTCTTCTATTATGGGAACTAATAAATAACTTTTCTTTATCCGCCCTCTCCACACCACTCATGATTTTATAGACCTCTATCATATCCCCCCTCAGTCCCAGTCTCTTTAGCCTCTCCTTATATGGGACCCGTTCCAAACCCCTAATCATTTTAGTTGCCCTTTTCTGAACCCTTTCCAAGGCCAAAATATGTTTTTTGAGGTGAGGAGACCACATCTGTACACAGTATTCAAAATGTGGGCGTACCATAGTTTTATACAGGGGCAGTAAGATGTTCTGGGTCTTATTTTCTATCCCTTTCCTAATAATTCCTAGCATCCTATTTGCCTTTTTGACCGCCGCTGCACACTGTGTGGAAGTTTTCAGAAAACTGTCCACGATAACTCCAAGATCTCTTTCCTGATTTGTCGAATCAAACGCCCAGGCAGAGAAAAATGGATTAGCAACTTAGCCACCACCTCGTCCATTGCTCATCCACCTCACATAAACTGAGACATTTGCGCTTTCATCTAAGACTGTGGTCCTCAACTGGTGGTCGATGGTGACTTTTCGGTGGTCCACAGGAACATCGTCCAAAGTCACACGGCGTGAGCAGGCGCCACCGTGAGGCTGTTTCATGTTGTGTTCACAAGCACGCGGCGCATCATCCATAGCGTCACCTG